TATGGGACCCGCCTCCGACTTGCGAGCTCTCTGGCGGCGGCGGTAGTCAGCTCTTGTCTTGCGACATCGCTTCCCCGTCATAGGCACGTTGGAGAGGGTGAAATAAAGCTGAAACAGGAAACGAGTACGTCGATCTCTTGCTGATGAACCATGAGCGATGAACTAATCAAGTGATTCTGCGACATTCCCCAAAGTGAGACTTGAAGAGCGCTCCGCTTTCGCAGTACACTCTCGCTGAGTCACACTTGTGGGAGATGGGGCTTTTCTCACTCGGTGAGTTCGATTTGATGACTCGATGAGTGACGTTGCTCTGCCGAGATACGGCGGGGATTTCTTCCGAGATCGTTTCATTCGGTGATCTTCGTACTCTGCTCCAGAAGATGCAACTTGGAAGGCGCTTTCCGCTCTCGCGGCTCACCCTCTCTGAATCACATCCATGAAGTGAGTTCGAGTTCACTATCTAGCCGTTGATGCCGTGACTAGACAACGCAAAGCTATCTCAACGACACGTAAATACTACCATACTGAGAGTCAGGGACAGGTCAGAAACGGCAGAAAGGGAAAGAACCAAGCGAACGAAGAAGCGAGGGAAGATCATGGTCCCATCGCAGTCTGGGACTTTCAACACCCGAATTAATGGTCGCTCTGATTATCGTCACTTGTGATCTTTAGCCTTGGTCGAGGACGTGGCCTCAGGATTGGCACCTTTCTCACCGCCACGAGGCTTCTTATTGGGTGGTTCACGCCGGTCTCCGCCCTTACGGTGTTGCTTCTGACCGCGGCGTTTGGTCTCAGCGGATAAGTTGCTTCTGGAGCTACTCTGCGACTTACTCCTGGCTTCAGCGGCCGCTTCACTAGCACGAATGCTGAGATCGTCATGGTATTTGGCCATCTTCAACATTGCTCTGGGCAAGGACTTTCCTTGCCTCAAAAGGTCGACAACCCTCTCTTGGATGAGGTTGTGGTACTCGATGGCACCATAACGACCCGAGGCTCGACCATTAGGACCGA